ACATGGAATTTAGACAGCACCTGGTTATATTACAGTACTGGTGTGTACACACTAAACCAACACTGTACATATAATTTAGACAGCACCTGGTTATATTACAGTACTGGTGTGTACCCACTAAACCAACACTGTACATATAATTTAGACAGCACCTGGTTATATTACAGTACTGGTGTGTACACACTAAAGTAACACTGTACATATAATTTAGACAGCACCTGGTTATATTACAGTACTGGTGTGTACACACTAAAGTAACACTGTACATATAATTTAGACAGCACCTGGTTATATTACAGTACTGGTGTGTACCCACTAAACCAACACTGTACATGGAATTTAGACAGCACCTGGTTATATTACAGTACTGGTGTGTACACACTAAAGTAACACTGTACATATAATTTAGACAGCACCTGGTTATATTACAGTACTGGTGTGTACCCACTAAAGTAACACTGTACATATAATTTAGACAGCACCTGGTTATATTACAGTACTGGTGTGTACCCACTAAACCAACACTGTACATGGAATTTAGACAGCACCTGGTTATATTACAGTACTGGTGTGTACCCACTAAACCAACACTGTACATGGAATTTAGACAGCACCTGGTTATATTACAGTACTGGTGTGTACCCACTAAAGTAACACTGTACATATAATTTAGACAGCACCTGGTTATATTACAGTACTGGTGTGTACCCACTAAAGTAACACTGTACATATAATTTAGACAGCACCTGGTTATATTACAGTACTGGTGTGTACCCACTAAAGTAACACTGTACATGGAATTTAGACAGCACCTGGTTATATTACAGTACTGGTGTGTACCCACTAAAGCAACACTGTACATATAATTTAGACAGCACCTGGTTATATTACAGTACTGGTGTGTACCCACTAAAGTAACACTGTACATGGAATTTAGACAGCACCTGGTTATATTACAGTACTGGTGTGTACCCACTAAAGCAACACTGTACATATAATTTAGACAGCACCTGGTTATATTACAGTACTGGTGTGTACACACTAAACCAACACTGTACATATAATTTAGACAGCACCTGGTTATATTACAGTACTGGTGTGTACACACTAAAGTAACACTGTACATATAATTTAGACAGCACCTGGTTATATTACAGTACTGGTGTGTACACACTAAAGTAACACTGTACATATAATTTAGACAGCACCTGGTTATATTACAGTACTGGTGTGTACCCACTAAACCAACACTGTACATGGAATTTAGACAGCACCTGGTTATATTACAGTACTGGTGTGTACCCACTAAACCAACACTGTACATGGAATTTAGACAGTACCTGGTTATATTACAGTACTGGTGTGTACCCACTAAACCAACACTGTACATATAATTTAGACAGCACCTGGTTATATTACAGTACTGGTGTGTACACACTAAAGCAACACTGTACATATAATTTAGACAGCACCTGGTTATATTACAGTACTGGTGTGTACACACTAAAGTAACACTGTACATGGAATTTAGACAGCACCTGGTTATATTACAGGACTGGTGTGTACCTACTAAACCAACACTGTACATGGAATTTAGACAGCACCTGGTTATATTACAGTACTGGTGTGTACCCACTAAACCAACACTGTACATGGAATTTAGACAGCACCTGGTTATATTACAGTACTGGTGTGTACACACTAAAGTAACACTGTACATATAATTTAGACAGCACCTGGTAATATTACAGGACTGGTGTGTACCTACTAAACCAACACTGTACATGGAATTTAGACAGCACCTGGTTATAATACAGGACTGGTTTGTACCCACTAAACCAACACTGTACGTGGAATTTAGACAGCACCTGGTTATATTACAGGACTGGTGTGTACACACTAAAGTAACACTACATGGAATTTAGACAGCACCTGGTTATATTACAGGACTGGTGTGTACACACTAAAGTAACACTGTCACAATCCCCCCCTACTCAAGGGGCTGAATGGTGGGGCCAGAAATGAGTAAAATTGACTGAAATTTCAAAGATATTCTACTATTCATGCATGGAAAATGACATTTTTTAGTTTAATTTAATTTAATTTAAGCTTGGTAAGAAGCTTTAACATCGGATTACAGTTAATGTTAAGCACAGTTTAAATTTGAGTTATGTGTACAATTATGTAGACAAAGCTATCAGACTTTTTTTTGACAAAATTATTTCAATGACATGTTACAAGAAGCATTGTAACACGGGTGGATATTTAGGCCTTTGGGCCTCTTGTGTCTTCCAATAACTGTCACAGAATCTTTTTCGAGAGTTTCAGAAGTATTTAAAACATGCAGTAGCCAAGCTGTTTGGAATAGCCTCTCGTTTCTTGGTAGACAATGAAAATCTAAGTTTTCCAAATCATTGAAAACTTCAGGTCATACCCGCAGTGGCTAGATTTTCAAATAATGGGTTTAGAAAGCCTTTAGCCTCAACAGTTTAACTTTTTTCCTGGTGTAATGGTGTCTTTAAAACAGAAATGAAAACCTTTAAAGTCTGCCATGTATACTTTGCAGCTCATTCTTGAACAGTAGTTGGTATTTTAGGTTTCATTGTATTTATAAGTTTGAAGATGTATCTAATTACTGTGAAAGTACAAAATCTCTGTAGAATGGGAGGTTCTGCATTATTGATCAAAAAAGAATTGTAAGTTATCAAGGATCAATAGGTAATACATTCTGATTGGTGTAGAAATGTCTAGAAATATCTACTTAAGTGCAGCCGGACTTTATCTCCGTGGTATCAGTTATCACCAGAAATTCCGATAATGTTTGCTGACATTCTAAAAATAATTTTTGAATATTTCCTTTTTTATGAAGATAAGTGAATTTCAAAGGTTTCTTTGGATTAGTGTTACAACCAACCACACAACACAAATACAGAGTGTACAGATTGAAGTTATATTCGATTGCAATCCTGTTCGTGCAGTAAAATCTTTATGGTCAGCTTGGCCTGTTATCAGCGTCCGCTAGTGAAAGCATCACTTCAGATCTCGTGTCTTTTTTCATTTGAAGCTCTTGTTTTATGAAAAAACAAATCACTTTATTTCACAAGATAAGTATCTGCACCAGTTTCTTAGGAAACCAATAAAAGATTCATTTATTTTGCAACGATCATATGTTCAAGTGTATTACAGCTTATGATGGTCCTTATACTCTTTTTCTATCCTTGCGATGTGCTGTTAAAATTCAGACATGATGTTAAGCTTACTGTATGTTGTGTACTCTGTCGGTAAAGAGCAGTGTAGTATGAATGAGTATTGGGTGACACAGAAAGAGCCTCTTGTAAGTTGTCCAATGTTGACCAACAGCCTTCGCTACTTCATCCCAGATTGCTTAGCCCAAATAAAACAGTGTGACAAAATTCTTAGTTCTGTAGCATTTTCACTTTGTGACTTCTGTATTAAGGTCTTGAGCTGAGGTCAGATAGGTTATACATCTCAGTGATCAGAAAAGTCATTTACATTTACTCTGTACTGACAAAGGTAAGTGATTAGATGAGTACAACAGTGACCGTAATGGTTGTCAATGGCTTCAAGGTCATTAAGAATTTGAATTTGTACAATGCCAGTCATATTTCTTCAGGTAACAATGGAAAAAAAATTGAATGATATTGATATGCTTTCAGCTAAAGCACAACAGAAAGAATTTTCTGAGAAATTCAGATATGTAGAATTTTATTGAGTTTTAGTTTCAGATGAGATATATGAAATCTAGTCTCCGAAGTTTTTATTTTTACAAGAATTAAAAATAATCAAATTTTCCAGAAAAGTTTCATAAAATTACCTAAGAAATGAAAACAGATTTAAGACACCTTTCGTCACGCACATGTCTCAGATAGATTTCATTTTGACAGGGTCAACATTAATGTAGAAGACAAAAACTAAATGAAGCAGCCATTTTCTTGCACCATTTTAAAAATTCATGATGTAATGTGATTGTCCATATTATGACATCACAATCAATTTCTAATTGGCACAGCCAATAAAAAATGTTTTACAGTATATTACACTACTGACATATACCTCAAAATGTTGCATATGTGAATTTAATGGAATAACTGGTTGGTGATAAAAAGTATATTGTAGTAGAGTCCTTTAATAACACAGATTGCTAAATTTGAAACACTGATGTTGAGAATCATCTTCTACATGAAAGCAAGCCACAAGCAAGTCTTTTCATTCCATGGATAATAAAGATAATGTTACAAAAGTATAACGCCAACAACTGGTGATATTGCTTGATAATCATTTTTTGATGCTTTAGCCTCCTTGAACACCTTGTTGGTTGATAGAGTTATCTCCTCTTGACGAATGTCAGGGAAGAGATCTGCACTTATACTTTATTATAACACAGTATTCTAGCTGCTACATTCCTTTTGGGTTTTTTGTTTAAACCAAGGACTAAAATGATATCTCAGACAAGTTTTGAGTTTCAAGGTCAAGGTCATTGTTACTATTTTAAGAAAGTCCAGGTCAGCACTTTGTTGTATCATTCCAAGGCAGATTTTGATCTAACTTCACATATGAAAAAGGACCATGATATCACAGATAAGGTAGAGATTCAGGATTATATGGTAAAGGTCACTGTTGCTTTAAGATAAAAATTACCAGTACTCTAGAGGCTTCATTCCAGGAGAAATTTTTATTAAACTTCACATCCACATAAAAAGAACCATTTGTTTCACCAAACTTCACAGTCACTTTGAAATCTTCTTTATTATGCAAAGGTCAAACCTGTAGAACCAGCAGGGGATTTTTATCGTTTGTTATGCCTTGTTGATTTAGAGATAAGAAAGAGTTAAAATATTTCTTTAGAATTAAAAACTTGGTACCTTTGATATGACTGCACCTTTTTTAATAATTGATAATTGTTATGCAAATGACATCAGGATGTTTCATTCTGTACTATAGAATATTTGTGATATTATCAATGCTCTGTTTGTTGACAGTGTCGGCCAGGGCTGGGGACCAAAGTGTTATATCAGCTGCTGTACCAAGAGCCCACTAAGATGATGGTGTTGTCTGGATGCAGTATTGTGTCCACTTTTGTAGCCCAGGCTGCCAAGATGTGGAACCTTGTTGTGGTGAGTAGTCATTTAGATTATAAACCATCTGATTACATGCATTGATTTCACTCACTTCCTTGCAAAGTGGTGGAGAAAATATTAAAAGGAGAGAATAAAAACAAGATGAAGTCAGCACCTGATCTTTATTTCATCTTTCTGTTTACGATTTACTGTGTTGTTATAGATTAAAAAAAGGCCTTTTTGATAGATACCTGGAGGTATACTCTAGAGTATATATCTAGGAATTTGAAGGAAAACAAACTGTAAGATTTGTCATGGTGTTGAATGATACCAGCATATGATCTGTCATGTGAAATCGGTCTCTAGAATATCACCAGTTCTGTTGCTGTACATCACTCACGAAAGGAGTCAGAATCTCTAGCAATCTCTGCAGTGTTATTTCTCTTTCATGGACCAGCGGCGGGATAGCATTTTTATAACCGGCTTTTACAGAGAATTTTACGGTTTTTAGTGTGTGATGGTGGTTGAATCAACACACAAAAATATTTAAGCTCCTTTTTTCAAAAACTTTCAGAAAACTTTTTAAAAAAAAAATCCTGTGTTGCTATTTTCTCGATTATAACAAGTTATCGATATCAATTCATTCAATATGCTGTAGAAATGAAGTGAAAACAATAATAATTGGACTTTGTTGATTTACTTCGAAAATATCCTGATTTTATCAGGAGTATTTTTCAGAATTTTGAGTAGAACAACCTGATGTGAAATGTGAAGTAAATAGCCCTATATTGGTGTTGTAAATGTCCAAACAATTCTGCATGTGGATCTGGATGTGTAGCAGGACCAGCAATATAGACCTAATGCTTGTAACGTTTAATTTGTCATTTCTGGTGACTTCGGTAGCAGAAAACAGTTATTTGCATTTTTACCTGAAATTATAGTTCATGTTTGAGATAAACAGGTATAGTGGATTGGTTATGAAAAATATGTCATTACATGTATATATATTTATAAACTACATATCAATTATATTGATAGTGGAGAAATAAAAATTGCATAAATAAAAAATTTCCACTGATTTCTGGCATGTGATTGCTATTATTACCAGCTCAAAAAAAATGCTTAAAAATGTAAAAATACTGCTAATTCCAACCTAACACTTCAACTTTATAGAAAAAAATTATTTATGAACTCCTGTCTCAAAATCGACACTACTGTCACAGCAACAAACTGCTGACATTTCAGCAAATTCCAACTTGGAATGCCTTCACAACTTGACCACGTGTAAACACAAAGGAAATTTCAGTACCTGTGAAGTCAGTTTTTGGTGTGTAAACACAGATTCATGACTACTCAAATAGTAATCTCCAACACAACATAGTAGCATTTTAAATATCTTTCTGAAAAATATGAAACCCTACATAGTCCACTTCAATATGACAGGACCAATTTTAGCAAGGATTAATTTTAAAATTTTTAATTAAAATCGTTATAACTGGATAATCTAATGAACAAAAATATCACCCATGGCCACACTGTGTACTGCTACCATATTTATAAATGAGCATTATGACATATATACATAGTATTCTCTTTATACATATTATCTACAATATACAATTACCAACCTTACCAATGCTTTGGCATAGTTTTGTCATTTAAGATGGAACAGCAATTGTGTACAGGTCTGAGACAATACTGAACGTTACATGGAAAGATCCTATTTGTCCAGATAAGGTTATATGGTGAAATGAAGTGATCTATATTAGAAATCATTAGCCTTGACATGTGAACCAGGTGATAAATCTTTAATACTTTTTTCCTCTACAATTATCAGTGGTCTGTCAGTCACGGATATATAAATTACCTTCACCTCAAGGCTGCCGCCTCTTTCAGTGTTGGGTTATATCAATTACTGTGCATAGACTGCATTTAATTACACACTGAACCATGCAATGGGTGCAGTTAAATGCATTCTCTTAAATTTACTTGTTTGCTTGTAGAACCCCTTAAAACAGAAAATTCATCACCTCGTGGAGACATTACAATATGTTTGTGGATTTTTAACAACACGTTTTAAAGGTCAAAGTCACAATAGGTCAATTGAAAAGTCATATTTGTTCAATTGGTATTCATTTTGAACATCTGAGAATTTTGTTTATGAAATCATTACCTGCATTAAATGTAATTAAAAGCTTTCAGGGATGGAATGAATCTAAAATTACTGGAACCTTATTAGGGATTACATTGTTAAAAAGAAATTTGTAAACACAATAACCAAGGTCACTTCATGAGACCAAGAATAAAGTGTGAACTGTCAACTCAAGGGGATATCTACTATAGTTGTCCTGCAAGAAGCTTATTTCCTCATCACATACATATAACATCAGAGTCAAATTAGGGAAGGATGAGGGGAGAGGGGGGTGGGGCTTATTGAAGGTAAATTATACAGCATTGTATTTCTATACAATCTAAAATGCATATATTATTGCTGGATCAATACTAACTATGGTATAGTAGAACCTCTCAGAGTGTCACTTACCATTATCATATGTGTAAACTATGGTAGAACCTCTCAGAGTGTGACTTACCATTGTCATATGTTTAAACTGAATTACTGGGTGTTCTCAGGTTTAGCTATTTTCGAAAATAATTAACAAAAAATTGATACGTTTATAAATTTAAATATTTTGAAATATAAAAAATTGATACGTTTATAAATTTAAATATTTTGAAATATAAATGGAAAATTGTAGTTCAACAAATATTGATTATGTTTATAAAACATGCAGCATATATAGAACTGTTAGGTTGGAGATGAATATTGTTAATGTTCAGCTGAATTATTTAACAATTAGAACATTGCAAGTAATATTGTTAATGTCCAGCTAAATTATTTAACAATTAGAACATTGCAAGTAATATTGTTAATGTCCAGCTAAATTATTTAACAATTAGAACATTGCAAGTAATGTTGTTAATTAGCTTAATTATTTAACAATTAGAACATTGCAAGTAATATTGTTAATGTTCAGCTAAATTATTTAACAATTAGAACATTGCAAGTAATATTTTTAATGTCCAGCTAAGTTATTTAACAATTAGAACATTGCAAGTAATATTGTTAATGTCCAGCTAAATTATTTAACAATTAGAACATTGCAAGTAATGTTGTTAATGTTCAGCTAAATTATTTAACAATTAGAACATTGCAAGTAATATTGTTAATGTCCAGCTAAATTATTTAACAATTAGAACATTGCAAGTAATATTGTTAATGTCCAGCTAAATTATTTAACAATTAGAACATTGCAAGTAATATTGTTAATGTTCAGCTAAATCATTTAACAATTAGAACATTGCAAGTAATATTGTTAATGTCCAGCTAAATTATTTAACAATTAGAACATTGCAAGTAATATTGTTAATGTCCAGCTAAATTATTTAACAATTAGAACATTGCAAGTAATGTTGTTAATGTTCAGCTAAATTATTTAACAATTAGAACATTGCAAGTAATGTTGTTAATGTCCAGCTAAATTATTTAACAATTAGAACATTGCAAGTAATGTTGTTAATGTTCAGCTAAATTATTTAACAATTAGAACATTGCAGGTTGCTATGTTTGAACTCAGTAGTCAGAATCTACAAATTGGTTTGATTATTGGAAGAATGATTTTTCATTGCACTGACAAGCTTCGGTAACCAGGAATTCAGAAAAGGTTTAGTTTGAAAGATGAGAGGTCTAATAGTCATACACTGTGTGTAATATGTCTAGTCTGTGAACTCTGTCGCTGATCAAGCAGTGACGAGACAATCTAATGAGGATTCCACAGAGATTAATCAAAAGTTTTAGGGCTGAAAGTCAACAAACCATTAATTGTCTCATCATGTAGGCAAAGTATACTGTGTTATGGGGCTGTGTGACATTATCATTTAGCATTAGGTTAATGCTTGATAGATTACCTGTCTGTACCAATACAGGTCAACTATTGGATGATTAAATACAATAAAATAGAAGATATTTTCAGTCTTAACATGGCAAATAAATTTTGGTATAATTTTGGTAGAATAGATGTATATTCACGACCTCATAAAATTGCATGTACAGACTTTCTTTTTACAAATTAAGGCCTTGACATTTTTTAATAATTTTTAATAATGTTTTAAGCTGCTCTCTGGAAAAAAATCAGAAACAGTGTTTGTAAAATCATTAAGACTGTACAAGGCTTACTTACAATCCATATGTATAAAATTGGAGCCGCAAAACTCTTGAAGTCTCTGTCCTAAATGAAGAAACTTGGCAAGTGTGTTCAAGCTTCAATAGGATACAGATTCGCTTCGATGACCAAGTGGCTATTCCTAAGTCACTTAGACCAGGTTCCTGGATTCTTTTATGTCATTTGGTATATACATAATCACTGCTTCCCGTTAGAGTGTACAAGGTGAAGCTGTAGAGAACCAAGGGCACGATGTCTACACTCGGTATGTGATAGTAATAGGAATGAGCAATTTGTCTAGGTCAGGTTATTTCTGGCCTTAAACTTTTCTTTAGAATACAAAGAACTGATGTCCTTCCAGTAATGTTCTCAAACCAAAAAGTCCCCTAATGTGTACTTGTTAAGTATAATAAGTTTCATGGATTGATGTTTATGCTGTATCTGGTACCCTCACAGGCTTTTTTTTAACATGGTGTAAGATGTTTATAGCTTTCATTGGTGATTTGGACTTTGTGATGTAACACTTAGGATACAATATGATATATCATCATCTCCTTTCAATGTACAATGCTTGTAAGTATTGTATGTCATTAGTGCTCTAATGGCGCAGGGGGTGGGGGCTTCAGGGTAGCAGTTCTTTACTATTCCTAAGGTCAAGGTCACTGTTTCTTATAAATCAAGCCATGGGATATTATCAGGAGAAGACATACTGAGGCATTCCCTCTGGGTTTTAGTTGTGATCTGATATATAGATATCTTTACTCCGTATTAAGATAAAGAAAACTTTGATATGACTGGGTGAAAGTATCAGGACTATGATACATTGTGACTGGTTTA